TGAGCTGTGAGCTGCCATGTGGGTGCTGGGAATTGAATTTGGGTTCTCTGGAAGAGCAGCCAGTGCTCTTAACCACTGAGCAATATCTCCAGTCCTTATCCTTGGGTTTTAGAAAAGCCTTTCCTTATATGATGTGGAAAAGTGCCTTTCCATCCCCTAAGAAAATTTCTCAGTGCACCCCTTCTTCTTATGCCTTCCTATTTCTGGCCAAGCCTCAGCACGCTTCCCCCCTTGACTCATAAAGAATTTACCCTAAGCAACTACTTGTTGCACTGACAAATCCCATCCTTGTATGAATTGTCTGCCTGGGTGTCTTCTAAGCTTAATCCTGGGCTTAGTTTGTCTCTTGCACTGGGTTGATAATTCCTTAAATGGGGTGGTGCCATTAGACTCAGAGTTGGAATTTTAGATTTCCGGTACCCATTGGGCATCAGAACAGAGTTAAACTAGTTAACCTCCACTAAAGTACGTATGGAACACTGAACATGATAATGGGACTTCTTAGAACACTTAGGATTTTCAAAAGAGACATTACCTGTGGTGGCACATTGCAAACTATAAAACATTAAAGTTGCAATTTTATATTGCATTTGATTTTTGTATTTGTATTAATCAGGGCTCTCTTGATTTCAGTTAAGGGAAGTCCTGTGCCAACTTGGCTACATGAAATCCTTTTGGTCACATCACTGAATGATTGCAACATGTATCAAATAGGAGAACAGTACTATGCTTCTTTCCTACCAGCTTCATTTCTGAAGTAAATTAACTATTAAACATTACTCTTTCCTGGGGTCTCTAAGCAGCCACAGGCTTAGATTCTCAGTTAGATAGATGTAACAAAAACATGGTGGTTTTGTCCAAGTAATTTTGATGAGTGTCTTAGAATTAACTTGTACATGGACTGAACTTGACATGTGTCCATCACTAAGCCATTGTGGCTATGAGGTTATGTACTAATTTGTATGTACTAGTAAGTCAGCATGGACCTACTCCTTGAAGCCCAGAAGATCAAGATCATTCCTTCAGAAACCACATAGATTGAGAATGGATGGTTTCCTAAAGGAAAAGTGAGAATCTATTTCTAGAATATTCTGGAAATCTGCCTTGTCAATCAAAACCCTAAGAGCTTGAAATGGGTAGAGTGGCAGAGTGCTTGCCAAGCATGAATGAGGACCTGGGTTCGATCTCTGTACTACCAAAAGTGTAAGTTTAGGGACTAGAGAGATGGCTGTCGGTAGGTTGTGTACTGAGTAAGCATGAAGACGTGAGTTTGGATGCTCAGAACACATTCACAAAGCTGGGCGTGATGGTGGGTGCCTGTAAACCCAGCCATGGGAGGTACGTAGAGACAGGCTGATCCAAGAAGCTCATTGATCAATCAGCCTACCAAACTGATTAGCATCCGGCTCAGTGAGAGAGCCTGTCTTGGAAAATAAAGGTGGACAGTGATGAAGAAAGAAGCACCCAACACTGACCTCAGGGCTCCAAGTGAATGTGTATGTAAGTGCACCCATATTACCATAGACTTTTGCACGTACCTCACACATACACGACACCCTGCGTAACCTTACACACCTACTGAAGCTGAAAAAGCCAGACACTCTGTTCAGGGCTGCACACAATGGGACAAGGCTGCTATGTATTGTGGCGATCTGTGTCCTGTGAGGCATGCCAAAGACACACCAGGAGATCTAAAGGAAGAAAAACTGGTATTTTCCAAAGCAGAGACGGGCATCTATCGGGAGTCCGACCAACATTGAGTTGCTTTGATGTAGTTGATTTCAAACTGCTTGTAAGATTTCTTATCCTGGCATCGATGAACAAGAGCAACAGAGAACTTTCTGAGGCCATATTTTTAAACAAAGTCTTTTAAAATAAAACACACATTCATTTGAATACCTGTCTAGCAGCGGGAGGGCCTGTCAAGGGTTCATCCAGGGACACGCTTGGTGCTAGGGAGCCAGGCTGCCGGGAGCAGGAAGGGGCAGAGCCCGCAGCCACAGGAGAACATTGTCTCCTGCCAGCTGGGCTGCTCCCTTCTCCCACAGGCCTCAGGCACCAGGTTCCTTGACCTTTGGTGTCTTTTTCTGGGGGCATCATCCGGGTGGGGGAATGCTCATATGAGTCCCCTGCTGGAGCCTTCAGTCTTGGTTCTGTTTTGCTTGGCAGAATCCAGGAAGAAGCTTGGGAGATTTCAGAAATGGATCCTGATTGCGCTGCTGCTGCTGCTGCTGGGAGAAAATGGATGGGGCTAAGGGACAATGGGTCTTCTAGTTGCCTTTACCCCTTTCTCACGCTCCGCATCCGCATCTTCCTTCCAGGCCTCTAACCAATTTTTTTCTCCTTTTTCTCTTTCCTGCACTTGGCCTCCTTCCAGAACGACTGTTCCTGAGGACAGCATTTCTAACCTTATAACTGACAAAGTCCTGGTTGAGGGACTTACACGTAAATCCTGTCTTTAAACGTTCACCGTCTCCAACCAAGAGAGGCAGTGTTGACCTCCCTCGACCATGGCCTCATCTGCCTGAGTCTTCAGGGTAAGGCAGCTTCTTGGTGTTCCTAGGATATTTCCTGAAGGAGATTTTTATTTGATGCAGATCTTCAGGATAATAAGCAGGAAAATGCACAGCTGATCCTGGCTGATAAGAGAAGACACGAGCAAAGCCACAAGGTGGGCTCAGTTCTCTGTCCCCTTTGCTAATGGACTGAGGTTCCAAACTCAAGACTTAGGTTGCCTTGCTACCTCCAGATGCATATGAGTTCCCTAACAACACATTAGGAGTAAGAAGAGGGATTGCCTTAGGTGGGCTTGCTGAAGATGAACAAGAGTATAAGGCCTGATACGGAAAGATGAGGTAGAAAACAAAACAAAGCAGTAATGCTACCACAGATCCCCAACAGCCACAGAGTCATAGCAACTCATACCGAGTGTGGAGTCCAGTGACCCTTTAAATTTAGAGTCCTCTAGAATGGCATGCATCATAGAGGCAGTCTACTCTCTCTAAAAGGCTAAATTAGATTCTTTGTACTTTGCTTTAGAATACAGACAAAAGTATAATTGGTTTTAGAAGGAGTTCCATCCCTACTGAATTAAAATAAAGTTTATGCTAAAAGCACAGGACTTTGGCTTTTGGAATGCTCTGTCCTAGAGAAAGAATGATTTCATTTGACTTTCAGTGAACCCTTCAGGTCTGTTCACTTTTCAGTCTCCTCGTTGCTGCTATCCCAATCATATTCCCGAGTGTCCCCCTCCTCCTCCTGTCCCGACTGTGTCTTTTAGGAGCTTTACCCGGGTCTGAATCTGGCACACTGATCTCTGTAGTGCCGCTTCTCATCCAACATGGCAGTGAAGGACACAGAGAACTCTGAGGTGGTGGCTAGGAACATGGGTATTGGTCTTGGCTTCCCACGAAGAGCTAGACATTTTGGAAAAGTCAGGCCTCAGTCTCTGAGAAGCCTCTGTTTTCTCATTGGGAAAATGGGGCTAATGATCCTTATTTATGCGGACATCTCAAAAATCAAAGACACGAGTGGATATTTGTATATTAAGCAGTTGGCTGTGTTGTTAACCCATGCATGGTATTTGTAACCTCTGACCTTCATCCTTTGCATAAGCATCAATCTACTCACCTCTGTCTCTGTCTCTGTCTCTGTCTCTTTCTCTCTGTCTCTCTCTCTCCCTCCTTCTGTGTTCAAAGGTGTGTAATTCTGCTGTCTGTACACATCAGTTCTTTTCCATCTTTAGTATTCAAGTCCTATCCTACAATAAACTACTGCTGACCCCTGACCTTACATTGGTGCCTTTGCTCTGTTACTGATCCCCAGGCTCAGCTTTCAGGCTCTCTTTCCATCAGCGATGGGGAGCACTAGTTACATACTTGGGAGAATACTTTCAGGCAGAGATCTTCTGATGAAGAAGGGTTTGGGGCTGTTAAGATTTCAAAGAAAATGAGCAAAAGAACTGACAAGCTTGCTGTTTAGACTGTAATGTTTTAGTCCCCAGTTCTCTTAAAACAAGGACATCTCAGTCGGCCTTGAAAGTAGTGGTCAAAAAGAGGCAGGGAGGAGGCATAGTATGCTTCTCCTATATGCTAATTACCATTCCAATAACGATAGAGAGTACATTGCATCTGGGAAATGTAATCCAATTGCTATTTGTTTTGTGAGCTTCACGTTCTTCATCTGAACAGTGGGGACAAATTATGTCTGATTCTTAGAGCTGCTAAGGAGGGAAATGAGGTGTCTCATGAGTGTATTTAGGCACAGAGCCTGACCCTGTTAGGGTTACAAAATGATAGGCAACCTAAATCCACCATGGTATGGAGCCAACCCTCTCTACTTTGTTTGGTATTAAGACAGTTCTGGTATAGAACTTTCTGTCTTCTAAGGACAGAAATATCCCTTCCACCTATGAGGACTCTGGGCAAGCAAGGGGTGTGTTCCTGTTTTCTTGGCTTCTCATTCAGTCCCCTAGTGAGGACAGACAGCAGAGGGACACTGTGGTCAGGGAGTGGAGGAGACAGACAAGGCTCTGCGGTTATACACTTATTTATTTCCTTATTTATTACTTTTGCAGCTAACATTTTTACAATCATGTTATTCTGTGGTTTATTTGCAAAAGGCATTGCGAGCCAAGTTTGCTTCAAACTTGCTCTGGGTTTAAAGGTTGCATGGGGGAGCCAGTGAGAGTGGAGGGAAGGGCTGGAGAGCAATTACAAAACATTATATAATTGGTATTTCTGTTAATGTGCCTTTCTTTGTACTTAGGATATGCAAGGCAGATGGAGAGATGGAAATGGTGGGCGATACACAGGCTCCACACATAGCAACATTAGCAGACACTGCAACCTCAGAAATGAAATGCAAAATGACTAGGCTGGGGACAGCCCAGGAGAAAGCTTCCTTTCTGTGCGCCAACACTACATCTTTTGAAAGGCTTTGGGAGAGACTAGAGGTTGATTGTTGAGAGAGAAGTGATGGGTAATGAATTAATTCACAAACATTATTTGGGAGTTTATTGCAAATTAGGTTTTGAAGGTTTCAATAAACACAAAAATCTAGTTTTTATAGATTATTCAAAATGAATCCCAAGAGAAGCTCTCCAAAAGTTGTTTGACTCTTAACTCTTGAGTCTTGTCACCCCAACTCCCAGGTGCTGGAAGAGTCTCCTTGCTAGTGAAGCCCATTTTGACTACATTAAAGTTTATTCTTGTATTATTCCATCTGGTAGCTCCCCAAACCACTTTTCTTTTGTCATTCTTCTTGTAAATATTTATATAAAAAGGTTCTTGCAATGGCAGGATCCTGTATTGGCAGATTGGCGTAAATCAAAGTCTTGATGTGTTTTATGCCATTTATGAACAATTTGGTTAAGTAGATTCCCTCCCCGCTCATTGAAAAAAGTCCTTTAATTTTAATAACACCGTCAAAAACTAAATAGCATCAGAGGGAAGCATAAGCTTACTGCGTAGAGCCCAAGTGGCAATCCCTGGACCACTTCACTCATGATGGCTCATGACTCAAGTTAATGGTTGGCACACAGCTTGCATTTAAAGGCTCCTCACTCCAGCCAGGACAAGGATCTGTAGTATTCTGGGTCATCTAGACAAATAAGAGATTATATAACTGGATCAGAAGATTTGTTCTTCTCCGTTCTCCAGTCTGGGAATGTTCATCCTTGCCCACAGCTTTAACTGACACCTCTCAAAGATAATATAAAATATTTCTGTTTAGCTTTGTCTACTTTTCAAAACCCCATTCCGTAGTCTTAGTTCTTTTAGACTCTTTAAACAAGATTACTACCATTGTCTTTATTCAACAGGATGAAAGCTGGCCTAATCAATCTCCTTCTCGACTTGGGCCTACTCCCGCTTCTGTGAATGGAGTCTTCCATTATCATCCAAGTCTACATCATTCTTCCAAACATATAACCTCTAAGTCTGTTCCCTGTATTCTACACCCCCATATACCTCCAGTACAACGTTTTGTCAAATGCCACTGCTTTTAATATCTCATGATGATTTTGTGTATACATCTTTGTTTCTATCCCTGCTATCATTGCATTATCCCCAGTCTTCTTTACGTAGCACCCATGTACTCATTCAATTAGCTTCTCTATTGACCAGATATCTTTGGAATAGTAAACATTTAGCAGGCATGGGGGGACAGAGAAGTGAACAAGAATGTAAAAGAATTTTCACGTATTCTCATGAGAGAAGTACAGCAAAAGTCTTAATGATGAACTAACTTTGAGTGTGACCATAGGGAAGAAAACCAAGGGAAGTCTCGGTTCTCTCTCTTTTCTGACTCCCAAAGGCTGTGCTGCATGATGCTGATTTATTGAATTACGTAATTTCCTTCTCAAATTCCATCAGTGTCCTTCACTGATATCTATGAATTTCATGTTTAGATTGAGTCACAAAACAATACTTTGGTCAATTATGGTCCATGGATACCACCATGGCTCTATAATTTAATGCCACCTACTGGCCTTGTGGCCATTTTGTTTTACTGAGTACACGCCATGTTATTCCTGAAAAGATAAAGTTATCTAATGATGTCTTCTCAGTATGTTTCCCTGGTATTGGTGATGCTTGACTGCATTCATTCTTCATCTATATGTAGTGTGGCATTTTTTTCATATGGTGCTATTTATTGTGTATTCTAAAATCATTCTCCTCTTTTCTCTTTCTCTCTTCTTATATAACTGTACTTTATTTGGTTAATTGGGAAGTATCTTGATTAATGCAATATCAACACTACTGAGTAGATCTTTCTACTTTTCTTAGGTTTTATTAACACATCTACTAGCTTATTCTCTGTCCTCTAATTCTGCCCATCAAGTAACTGTTCATTCTTCAGACCTCTGGAAGAACATCATTGTAGTAGGAATAATAAAAATCCAGAGACAGATATTAAGGAGGAAAGCTGAAAGATGAGAAAAGCAAGATATCCAAGCCACTAGAGAGTTCTTACCTCTACCAAGGCTCAAAATGGGTGATTCTGTCCTCAGTGGGACTTCAGATTGAATACACTGCACTCCTGTCTTCACCTGCCTTTTACTCCTCTCTAGTGCTAGGATTAAAGGCATGCATCACCATAGCATTTATAGCTAATCACTGTGGCTGTTGGGATTAAAGGTGTGTGCCACCACTGCCTGGCCTTTATGGCTAACTAGTGTGTCTAGCTTTGCACTCTGATCTTCATGCAAGCTTTATCTGTTAGATCATAAATAAAATATCACCACACTTCATAATAGTCAATATCAATTCACCTGCCAATGAACTCCTAAATTTCGTGAGTCTAGACTTAGTTGATCTAAAGTGAGGGCTATAAAGACACTTTGAAGTCAATCCTCTGCTTTCTTTAACACACAATCATAGATACGATTGATCTGTATGGTTCTTGTTGCTCTTTAAGATGCAATCCATAGACTACTACCAACCTGAGATCCTTGGTCAGACGAGACAGCTTCTTGTAGGTGCTGTCTTGTATGTGATCTGGAATGAAAGAGCAGAGTATCGTAGAGCAACAACTCTGTAACAAGGAGCATCTCTCTAGTCCTTCATTGTTTTTATCCAGTCTGTAGATTAGAAAGTCAAGAGCAAAAGAACTGTGCTTTGTCCATACTGCAACGAGACAAATAAGATAATAGGAACATTAGAAAACCAGGTTTCTCTGTCTCTCTGTGTATGTGTGTGTGTGTCTGTGTGTTTGTGTGGTACATGTGCATGCACCTGCGTGTATACGTACACATACCTGGTGTTCATGTGGAGGCCAGAGGTCAATGTTGAGTGCCTTCTTCAGTAACTCTCTATTTTATTTTTTGAGACAAGGTCTCATATTAAGCCTAGCACTTATGGATTGACTGGACTAGTCGGCCAGTGGGCCCTGGAGAGTCACCCAATTCTAACTCCTCAGCATTGAGATTACAGGTATGTTGCAGGGTTCCATTTTTATATAAACATTACAGATACTAACTTGAATCTGCATGCCAGCCTGGCCAGAGCTAAGCCATTTCCCAAGCCCTGAAAATCAGGGTTTGATCATGCAGATTTCCATATTTGGTCTTCTAGCTACAATTAAAATTGCTTAGGGGTAAGATGTTTTACACTGCTATGTTTTAATTCCTTCACATTTACTGCTCTTTCACCGTACTCTTGAAAACTAAAACAAACAGCAACATACCATTTGTAAGAATGCAGAAAGTCTGCTCCAAAGATGCCATTTTTCATCAGAAAACAGACCAAGATGTTGCGCAACATCTGGCCACAGCTGGACTGAGGAAAAGTCTTGGTTCTGAGAAAGACCGAGCATTCCCCTACTGGAAAGACAGGCATCACTGGGAAATATTCAATAAAAAGTTTTGAGACACAGTTTCTCATTCACGGAGGGAGGCTTGCAGGAAGCTGTTTTTCCTCTTAAGGCTTGGCTCCATCTGGAGGGATGCTAGTTAGTGTAATCCAGAACTGATTATTTTGTTGATCGTGTTTCAAAACCCTTACCCTTTAAACACACTCCCAGAATAAATTGAGTGCAATTGGAGTTTTCCAAAGAGTCTTGTAGTTTGAGATTTGAGGGAGGGGATGGTCAGAGAGGGTAAGTGGAGACCTGCCTGAGGACCTAAATGTCAAAAGGCATGGGGGCGGGGAAGGGAACGCAAAGACAGCCCAGCACTAGGCTGGAAAGTCTTGTTGCATGAGTCATCCCACAGGACAAATAAAACCCCACTCATCACTCTGTCTTCCTTGTCTGTAGCAGAGGAGCAAACAGTGGGGCCCTGGAAAAACATCAACTTCTTGTAGCATCTGTAGGTGGGGAAGGGTTCCAAGCCACAGAGAGGGTTGTGAACACAGTTAGTTACTGGGGCTTCAGTTTTTCTCAGCCAAATAGGAAGAACCTCCGAACTGACCTTGGAAAAACATACAGAAGGAAAAAATATTGTAATCTCCCCCTGTGTGTTTGTAGTAAGAGTTTTTAAAAAGGAAGAAAGAAACAAATACATTGCTTTCCAGTTTTCCATGAAGAGTTTGAATGGTTTTGAATCACCGTGGCAGAACCCGTAGTGTGGGGGCTGCAAGGACTTAAGCTTTGCCCCCTCTTAAGGAATACAAGGTCACCTACACAGCACAACCATATTCGTATTAAAGAGCCCAAGGGGAAAAGCATTCTCACCAGTGCTTTCAGTAGAGATGGCAATTAGCATTTTTATGAAGAACATAAACTCTGTGTATCAAAGATGCACTTTTATTGCTCTGAAACTGGCTTGAATAGGCGTCCCGAAAAACGTTTGGCCCTTCTGCTTCTAGGAGGAGGCCAATTAAAACACGGTCTGTCTAACTGCCAGTTCCTACCCACCCTCCAGTGAGACAACAACAATGCTGAGATGGTGGCATTGGCGCCCACAAAAGTGGCTTTTCAGCTAGTGGGCACCTGGAAGGAAAATAATGATTTCTTGGCTCTCTTGGAAATAACACAAATATTAAAAAAAACCCAAAAACTCAAGGTTTATTTTGCTTATTCGTCCTCACCCCAGTTAAGAATTGCATGGTTCAACCGGATGGCTTACCTTGCTGCCAATCATGACAGCTGTTGCTTCCGTTCAGCCCAACGGGGAGCAACAAGACTCAAGGGAAGGTGGGGGGGGGGCAATGGTCTTTGGCTCACTAATACCAGAGGACGGTCCTATGTTGTGACGGCCTTCCAGAAAAATGTCAAGACATTGTAGATGTAGAATTCTCAGCTACCTCTCCAGTACCATGTCTGCCTGCATGCTGTCATGGTGTAGCAGGATGATAATGAACTAAACCTCTGAATGGTAAGCAGCCCCAATTAAATGTTTTCTTTTATAAGAGTTGCCGTGGCCATGGTGTCTCTTCACAGCAATAGAAACCCACACTAAGACACTTGGTATGAAGCAGAATGTTGAAAGTACAATGTCTTCGGATTCTTGGAGCCAGAGGTAAAAGTGAGAGTTTAATTCATTGGTTCTATAACAAGGGAAATGAATGAAGTCTCCATTTTACAGTAAGTAATCATGGACAAGACACGGGTTCATGATTCCATTTTCCATATCACAGCAATGGCACTGACAGGCATGTAAACTGTGATGATAAATGTTTCTTGACTAAAGGAGTTAATATGTCAGGACATAGGGAAGGAGTACACTTTCTGCTGGATGACTTTAGATACTATCTAATAGGGTTTTTTCCTCCCTGGCACCCTTCTATCAAGTTCCTTTTATGTTTCTTGTAAGGTTAAATTCATTTGTGTGACTGCTGCAGTAAGAAGTACCTCTTACAAAGAATCTTCCGTATTCCAGATAAGGAAGTAGACTAACTTCACAGGAAAATTATGAGTGTGATGCTTCGAGGGGGGTCAGTTTTGATGATTTTACCTGACACAAAGGAAGATATCCAGGAAGGAAGCAGTTCTGGGCTTGGGTTAGTAATTTGTCAAAGTCAGTTTCCCGAGATTTTCTTTTTCTTTCCTTCAAGTTTCAAGGCAGCATCTGTAGATCTAGACATCATGTCTTCATAAAACAATGTCTATAGAAAAACAGAAGAGATTTTTTTTGAGACAGGGTTTCTCTGTGTAGCCCTGGCTAGCCTGGAACTTGCTTTGTAGACCTTGAACCCACATAGATCTGCCTGTCTCTGCCTCCAGAGTGCTGGGATTAAAGGTGTGCACCACCACCACTCCACTAGAAGAGACATTTTTTAAGGATGAAAGGACTCCCCTCGTATATCACTCTCTGTAATAGGTGGAAAAGAAAACTCTGAAAGAACAAAGTTGCCATGGCTATTTAGAGCCGTTGTTTGAGCTTGCTAGTACTACTGTAATGTGAGTAACAAAATGTGTGCTTGTAATAACAGTCCCTTTCTTTGATTCTGGATGCTAGAAGCATGAGTCAGGGGCTGCTGAGGTTGACTTCTGAGACGCTGTACATGCTTGCTAATGACTATAAATGGCTGTCTTCTCTGTCTCTTCATATGATCTTTCAACTATGTGTGTCTGTGCCTTAATCTTGTACACTTGTAAAGATATTAGTCCTATTGTATGAAAACACACCCTAGAGACTCCATCCTATTATTCAGAGGTAGTGGGGCTTATGATGTGACCTTGTTTTTAGAGAGTGAGATGGGGATACAGTTCACTCCATAATAGCCATCATGATCAATCCATTGAGATTTGGAATATTGCAGCTTAGGCAACAGTGGGTAACAGGAAAGATGGTGCATGATTGTCATGTATGGTGATGATGTATAGATTCCTACTGGTGATAGTGATACTTTGATGTATATATTGTAGAGGATATCTTAATTTTTCCCAAATGTGACCACGTTTGATGAGGGCAATGTTGGAAAACCAAGAGATCAGGACAACTTACTAGTTCAGTCTCTAGCTGTGGCTCTTGAAACATGTAGCAAGTGAGTGTATAGTGTTTTGTAGCAAGTGAATGGCAAGAAAAACAGTGGATTTTGTTGACAAATAACATAGCAATTTTTTTCAGGATGAAAATTTCTGTGTTTGTTAAGATTCTCTATATCTTGGAATAGTTTTGCTCAAGGTTATAGGCTACCAGTAGCCAAGGTAGGAGGAAACTACATTTCTTTGATTCATGAGGTGGTGATAGGAAAGACTGAGGCATTAAAGACTTCAGAGAAAAAGAAACTGATAGTTCTGGCTGTGGGAGGACAAAAGGGCTTCCTAGAACATTATGATGTATGTATATGTATGTATTTATGCATATGTATGGATGTATATGTATATACATTTACATATATTGTTTGTGATGTGATGAAGGGCTCTCCTCACGCCACCTCCTTTGTTCATCCATTCTATGGCACACACCATCCCAGGAGCAGGGGGCTGGGCATTTGCCGGTGAGAAGAGCTGGAAGAGATGATCCCTGATGGAAAGCATGAATCCCAAGCAGGACTGCAGAAGCAGGTCAGCTCTGATCACTCCTGCTCCCATCTCCAGGTATAGCTAGAAACTGGGGTCATCTGAGTCTTCACAGAGTATTGAAAGGGAGATGGGAGTGTGTGTTTGATTCAATTTTTGCAAGATTCGAAAGAGCCAGATGATCACAGATATCACCTAAGTTACATACACATTGTTTAACATCAACCCAATTTTATGGTGACATTATAAGTAATTTATAAAACACTTCATATAATATTTTTTTCTAAGCTTTGTAATTTTAATCACCATTGTATCTGGAAAAACATTATATTTGATTAAATTATTATTATTTATTTTCCAGTTTTGAGATAGGATCTTGCTCTGTAGCTCAGATTGGCTTTGAACTCATAACCCTTCTATGTCAAGTTCCTGATTAGCTGGGATTATAGGCATGTGCCTCCCATGCTGAGCTCTAACTTTGGTATCTTGAAGTCTGAATTGGTGGTACATATCTGCAAGTCTAGCACTTGTATGGTTGAGACAGGAAGATTATAAGTTCAAGGCCAGCCTGGGCTAGATAACAAAACTGCTGTGTTTAAAAGTCACAACAACAACAATCCCAAAATAGTTTAAAAATTTCAGGCTTACAGATGCCCTTTATTCAGTCTCTATCTATGATAACACCTCACAAATCTGTGGTTTAATATTAAGCAGGATATTAGCCTTTATAAGTGTCAATTTATAGGGCACTTCAGCCCTACCAGGACTCCTTGTGTTACCCTTGCATCCACACCTATTTTCATCCCATCCTGTTTCCCTCAAACCTTGGTGACCATTAGTTCATCTTCTATTTCTAAAATTATATCTTGTTAAGAATGTTGCATCACAAAAAACATGGATTGGGACTTCTGGGTAAGACGGTGGATAAGAAACATCACCATTGAAACTCGGTAAAAGAAAAACATTTCAGACAGGACAATTCTCAACTTTATATGGAAAAACAAAAGACCCAGGATAGCCAAAACAACCCTGTACAATAAAGGAACTTCAGGAGGCATCACTATCCTTGACTTCAAGCTCTATTATAGAGCTGTAGTCCTGAAAACAGCTTGGTATTGGCACAAAAATAGACAGGTAGACAAATGGAATCAAATTGAAGACCTTGATATTAACCCACACACCTATGAATACCTAATTTTTGACAAAGAAGCTAAAACTATACAATGTAAAAAAAAAGCATCTGCAACAAATGGTGCTGGCATAACTGAATGCTGGCATGTAGAAGACTGCAGATAGATCCATATCTATCACCATGCACAAAACTTAAGTTCAAATGGATCAAAGACCTCAACATTAATCCAGCCACGCTGAACCTCTTATAAGAGAAAATGGGGAATACCCTTGAATGAATTGGTACAGGAGACTGCTTCCTGTACATAACACCAGTAGCACAGACACTGAGATCGACAATTAATAAATACAACCTCCTGAAACTGAGAAGTTTCTATATGGCAAAGGGCACAGTCAACACAAGGTAAAATGGCAGCTCACAGAAAGGGAGAAGACATTCATCAACCCCACATCTGACAGAGGGCTGATTTCCAAAATTTACAAAGAACTCAAGAAGCTAGCCTCCAAAGCACCAAATAATTCAATTAAAAAGTGGCATACAGAACTAGTGTAAAATGGCTGATAGA